TCTTAACCACCGTGCCACCCAGGGACCTTGGTAAGGTAGAGGGCCAGCAAAAACGAGGGAAACCCTCAGTGTGGTGGATTGACACAATAGCCACAATAATAGACTCAAATACCCCAAAGATCATGAAGATGGTACTGGTCCAGGCAATACTTCATTCTGTCATCCATAAAGGTGGACATGAGTCAGAACCAACTCAACTGCAACCAACAACAACAGCATTTCGGCAGACCTAATTCGCTCTGTGCCTTTGTTGTATGTAACTATATATTCTGAAGACACCACGATTTTTCCCGATGGACTCAAAAGGAAAAGGAATGATCTCCTGGAAACACCTCTGAGTTGGGGGTGGTCACGGAGGAAGGTCATAGGCTTAAGTTTAGATTTGATTTTGACAACTTGGGAGATACTAGAGTTAGTCAATATGAGTTGTTTGTCTTTGATAAAAACATCACAGTGAATTGTGGCAGCACAGATGCTCTAGGTCTACTCTAGGCACCTATGCTTGACATAAGGAGTGATTATCTATTATCTGTCAAAACAAAAACTATAATGCCGGAGGGAGCGAGAGTAGAGTTCCATTATCAAGTAGATATAAATCTTTCTGTTTGTTTAGTCCATTTGTATGGCCTCCCACTGGTTTTGTCTTGGCTTCTATAGAGTTCTATGGCAGAATCTGGGACAGTATATGTCATGTTTGTTGAAAGGCTTTGTGTTTGGGTCAATGAATAAGGAAAAGTCCCTTCCTGAAATGGGATAAGTCTAGTGGAGACCTGGTCTGGTGTTCTCCTTTTGTTCCCTTTCTGGAATTGAATCCTGGCTCTATCACTTGCTAACTGTGTGACTTATTCCTTTGTTTCCGTATCTGTAAGATGGGGATAACAATAACCTGCTAAAAGGTTATATGTATTAAATGGGTCAATACATATAAAGAGCTTGGAGCAATGCCTGGCCGTTGGTAAAGGTCTATTAATATTCTGACAAATGGTTCTTCACTAGGACTGTGCCTCTGAATCCCTCTAGAGCTTGTAAAACAAATATGGTTGCCCAGGACTAACCCCAAGAAGATCTGGTTCAGTAGGTCTGCAGTGGGCCTGGGCATCTATGGGGTGAGAAGCCCCATAGGTGGTTCTGCTGCCCAGCCTTGGGGCAAAGCAGCTAGCACTGACCAAAGGCCACCAGGCACTATGACCGCCGCTGACTGCTTGGCCCATTTGTTCCAGAACTATCTTTGGAACCAACCCAGACCACCCTCTGGGGCCCCCTGCCAGTCTTATTTCCAGCTCTGTTCCACTTTCCCCAAATCCTGTTACTGCCTCCCCAAACCTGGGGAACGCGAAGCCAATTGTTGGTAATCTCCTTGAATGTCATAGACAAAAAGAAAAAGGGTCTTTCTGAGGCATCCTGACACTCAAATACCCCCAAAGGAATCTGTGTTCACAGAAGTTTTACATATTATGAATTCCAGATTATTTAGGTTTATTCTAACATCTTCCAAATAATTAGCCTAAAATCAAGCATACTTGTATCTTGTATTTCCAAACAGTCATTATGATGAAACATTTTGCCCGAGGTCACAATGTCAGTGCCAACATATTTGGGAAAGTAAGTTATTTCCAGTCTGCAAATCCTAGATTACACTCTTCCTACAATACTGGAGGGAAAGGGGCTGACTGGCCAGCCAGACTCCACAGACACAGAGTGGGAAGTGCACACAACATTCCACGTTCTGGCCAACCTGCACAAGGGAGTAAACCTCTCTGCCCCTCAGTCTCCACATCTCTAAAATGGGGATAATATGGCCTTATAGACTATACCTCATGGAGTGGTCATAAGGAGTGAGTAGACTGATATCCTGTAATGTTCTCAATCCCGTGCCTAATAAAAACCAATCGGTTGCTGTGAGTCCATTCCAACTCATGGTGACCCCATGTGTGTCAGAGCAGAACTGTGGTCCACAGGGTTTTAAACGGCTAAGCTTTTGGAAGTAGATCACCAAGTCTTCTTCTGAGGTACCTCTGGTGCACTCAAACTGTCAACCTTTCTGTTAGCAGCCGAGTGTGTTAACTGTTTACACCACTCAGGGAGGGACTCCCTCATGCCTAATAGGCTCAGTAATTGTTATTCTTTGCCCTTGTGAAGCCACAGGGCTGGGGAGTACCCCCTACCCTGGCCCAATTGCTAATAAACTTGAGCTAGAACAAATATTCCTACAAGGTAGAAAAACAGGCCTGCTTTTCTGGATCCCATGGATCAAGGGAGGCTCAGTTGTCGCTGGGCCTGTCACTCCTACAATCACGCTTCTTGTCTCTTCAACACTTAGCTCTGGCTCAAAGCCTGACATTGAACAATGCTGGGCCAAGGTGTGGTGCTCAATTATAGGGCCAGGAGAGGTGACCTTCTTCTGTTTTCCTTCAGTGTACGCAAACCAACCCGGTCCCCAAGAGCTCAGGGACCCACCCAGGTTGGTGTCTGTCATGGATTGAAATATGCTCCCCAAAACATGTGTGTATCAATTTGTCTGGGCCATGATTCCCAGTATTGTGTGGTTGTCCTCCATTTTGTGATTGTAATTTTATGTTAAAGAGCATTAGGGTGGGAGGTAACACCCTTACTAAGGTCACGTCCCTGATCCAATGTAAAGGGAGTTTCTCTGGGGTATGGCCTGCACCACCTCTTATCTTACAAGAGATAAAAGGAAAGGGAAGCAAGCAGAGAGTTGTGAACCTCATACCACCAAGAAAACAGTGCTGGGAGCACAGCACGTCCTCTGGACCTAAGGTCCCTGCACTGAGATGCTCCCAAACCAAGGGAAGACTGATGACAAGGACCTTCCTTCAGAGCTGACACAGAAAGAAAGCCTTCCCCTGGAGCTAGCACCCTGAATTTCAACTTCCAGCCTACTGGACCATGAGAGAATAAACTTCTCTTTGTTAAAGCCCTCCACTTGTGGTATTTCTGTTAGAGCAGCACGAGATAACTAACAGTGTCTAATCCACTGCTGGCAACTCTACCTGGTGGAAATTTCCCTACCAGCGAGCGAGCCAACCTCCTCCTCCTGCATTTGAACATGATTTCCTTTGGGTTGGCCGCAAGTACAAGGATTTTGAGGGCATTCAATTCAGTCTTCCCTATTTTGTGAAGGTTCTGATGCTGATGAGAGCGAGGGTTCCAAAATTTCTCCTTATCTCATCACTAATTCCCATGGCAGACAGTCCTGGGGCATGCTCTCAGGGGTCTATGCGCAGGTCCCAGGTGTCTCCTTGAAGGTGTTCAGGAGCAAAGGGGAAGGAGCACAAGGTGCTCTCGGCCTGGCTGAGGGCGCTCTACCTGCCAACATTCAGGTCCAGGTAAGCCCCGTCTCATGCACATGCATAATTTACATAACAGTACATAATAAATAAAACATGTTTTCTTTCAAGTCTACCCTAACAGAAACTCCAGAACAAAGGCCTGGGTGATCTACTTTCAAAAATCAGCCAATGTCACAAAAGGACAAAGATTGCATAGTCTCACTTTTATAAATAGTCAAGAATAGGTACACACACAGAAAGCAACGTTCTTTGATGGTTACCAGGCATGGGAGGGGGAATCACTTTCTAGATAGTAGATGCTTGTTATTTTTTGGTGATGGGAAAGACGATCCCAAACATGGGTGAAGTCTGCGTGACATGACCAAGGTAAGTGAAGACGCTAAGCAAGAATAAGAATCAATTTTGGTAAATGTTATAACATACAAAAGTTTACAACAACAGTAATAACAACCAAAAAATATGTGACATGTGTGTGGTGACATATGTAGATATATATGTATGCATGTGTATAGGAAGGCATATGTGAGTACACGTGTTTGCATGTATAGGTGTATCTGTAGGCATTTGTATATACATGATTATATGTGCTGCATATATATTCATATATACAATGAAGCACATGGGGGCACAGTTTATGAAGACTTCCCAGACATATGCAAACACCTCGCAAGATTGGTTTACTGGGTTAAAAGGCTTAGGACCATAGTCTCTTGGGACTATTCAGTCAATTGCCATAACACAGTTCATAATGTTCTACAACCTAGCTTGGTGAGTAGCATCTGGGGTTTTAAAAGCTTGCAAGCGGCCATCTAAGATATAACTATTGGTCTCTACTTGCCTGGAGCAAAAGAGAATGAAGGAAATCAAAGGCTCAAAGAAGAGACTAGTCCACAGGACTAACAGCCCACACAAACCATAGCCTCATCTAGCCTGAGAACAGAAAAACTAGATGGTGCCCCGCCACCACTACTAACTGTTCTGGCCAGGGACACAATAGGAGGTCTTGGATAGAATGGGAGAAGAATGTAGAACAGAATTCAACTTCCTAAAAAAGGCCAGACTTACTGGACTGAGAGAGCCTACAGGAACCCCCGAGACTATCCCCATAAGATACCTTTTGAACTTGAAACTGAAGCCACTCTCGGAGGTCATCTTTCAGCCAATTAATAGATTGGGTTATAGAATAAACAATAGCACCAGTGAGAACTATGCTCCCCTTAAATAATCAACTATATGGGACCAAATGGTCAACATTTACCCTAAAGCAAAGATGAGAAGCTAAGGAGGGGCAGGGAAGCTAGATTAATGGAAACGGAACAAACAGAATGGAAATAATGCGAATGCTTGACACATTGTAAAAATTGTAACCAATGGCACAGAACAATTTGCATCAAAATGGGTAAAGAGGGACCAAATTTGCTGTGTAAACTTTCACCTGAAACACAATAAATTATAAAAATAAAAAAAAAAAAGCCAATGAAAACCCTATGGTCTGATCTGCAACCGATCATGGGGATGGCATAGGATGAGGTAGCATTTCCTTCTGTTGTGCATGGAGTCGCCATGAGTCAGGGGCCGACCTGACAGTAGCTAACAACAATAACAATGCAAACTCTTAAACAAACACCATAACCAGAACGATTCAGATTCTGTTAACATTTTTAATATATAACTAAAATAAACAAAAAATAATAAAAAGTAACACTATTAGTCTATGTTGCAAGAAAGTTTACAGAACAGTGCTATTTACCTTAAATTGAAAACATGCTTAGAAATAGAATTAATTGTGTGACCACTGGTCTATTTACACCACATGATACTCATTGACTGCGAAATTCATATTTATCTCCAACGACAGCCCGGGACTCTTTTTGCAGCCCCTTTATTGCCTAGTTTCAGAATCTCCTCCCCATTATTTGAGTTACTTAAATTAGTAGATTAGCTTTACCTTGGCTAGGGTAGCATAAGCCAGTCCAAGTATTCCATTCCATTTAATCCCAGGCAAAAAGAAATTCTCTGATTCAAAAATAGTGGCGACATTGACGACGAAAGAACTGTTGAAGCCTTTTGGGATGGTGACAACATCCTCCCCCATGAAGCCTGTCCAGCTCCCTTGTGTGTACTTCACTGTGACATCGAAGCCCTTGTAGCGGTACGTGCTGGACCTGAAGGACACAGAAGAGGCCATCAGAGCTACTCCTTTAGAGTGTTATGGATTGAACTGTGTCTCCC